TTAGGTCTAGTAATAATTAATGTCGTTTTCTAATACTTTTTAAAATCGAATTTATTTAAACAATACAACAAAATTTAATCAACAATATAGTTGCTATTGTTTTCTACTACTTGTGCCCAACGTTCAGGAAGCATTTTAATCCCTCTGTTGTAAAATTCTTGTGATTTTGATGCAAAAAATTCGGTCAATGCATTTTTGAGGCATTTCTTCATTATTAAATTTTTTTCCAAGAAGAAAGTTTTGCAAAGAACGAAACAAATGGTAATCGGAAGGGGCAATATCAGGAGAATATGCAGGTTGAGGGAGAACTTCCCATTCCAACTGGCGCAGTTTTTCAGCAGTGATTCTTGCAGTATGCGGTCGTGTGTTATCGTGGTGAAGAATTACGCCCTTCCGATTAATCAGCGCGGGTTCTTTTTCTCTTAAAGCTTGGGCTAACCTTTCCAATTGGGCACTATACACTGCACTTGTAATGGTTTGGTTAGATGGTAAAAGTTCATAATGAAGAATTCCTTTAAAATTCCACCAAACACACAACATCACTTTTTTCACATGCAAGTCAGGTTTTGGCATGGGCTGCGGAGCCTCATTTTTGTCCAACCATTGAGGCCACCTTTTCAAATTAACATACAGCACCCATTCTTCATCTCCGGTAACAATTTGCTCTAAAAACGGCAAACGGTTTTGACGAGAGAGGAGCGAACTGCAAATTGTGACTCTTTGATTACGGTTGTTGTAGGTCAACTCATGAGGAACCCATTTTCCAAACTTTTGGACTTTGCCAAGTGCACGCAATTGATTGGAAATTGTTTTTTGTGAACAATTTAAAATTGTCGCAAGCTCTTGTTGGGTAATTTGAGGATTTTGCACCAAAAGAGCTTGAAGAGCTTCTTGATCAAAATTGGACACACGGCCTCGACCACTCTTGTCATCTAACGAAAAATTTCCCTCGCGAAATTTCTCAAACCAACGCTGGCATTTTCTGGCGCTAACTGCATCTTGACCAAGAGCACTACAGATGTTTTTTGCAGCCTCACTTGCTTTTCTTCCTAATTGGAACTCGTAAAGCATGCAGTGCCGAATATGCTCTTCATCCACCATCTTCTTAGCCCTAGTTTTGCAACAAAAACCATACCAAACACAAACTTTTTCAAGCAAAACTTGTTAATTGCACTTCACACGTTCTGTAGATACCACATGTTTGAAGGTTATGTCAATACAAGTCAACGCCAAGCAAGATTTTAAACGAATGTTAAAAACGACATTAATTATTACTAGACCCGATATCACAAGAAAAGTAAGTTTTATGACAGCTTTTGGACAACTTTGTCCATTTTCATTATCATATTGCTAGGTTAGAAGAGTCTAGCACCTGAACATCAAGTATTTGAAATGAGTTGGTTGGATGCTGAACAAATATCTTCAAAAACTTTTTAAATATAGACACACAATAATACACACAGATATAACAGTACAGAACATATTTTTTCATCGTGACACCAAGTGCTTAGCATATGCCCGGATGAAATCAATATTTGTTTTCTGTAACCTATACTCCAGAAAACATTATCAAGTTAGCATTACTTGCTCCTAGAAAAAAACACGTGTATTCAAGAATTACTAATTTCTTCCATAAGTGCTCAAAAAAGTATCAATTTAATAATCATTCCTGTGTTCAGCATAAACAAACACTTCAGTCTCATCTTGGAATCCACCTATCTCCGTAATTTCCCAAAGGCTAAGTACAAATTTTCTACATAGCCTAGATATAAATTACTTGAGCCCAGAGATTTAAAGCAACTAAATATCTTACAACCTTAGATGTCTATTTTCAGTTGCTATTTTTATGTTTGTCTTCCTGTTTGAAAGTCAATATCATTCTATGAGGTACAGGAAAACAAAGAAAAACTGAGTATTGCTTTTTTGTCTTCTGTAGTTATAAATACAAATAAAATTTGCATACCGTTTCCCCGAAAATAAGACAGTGTCTTATATTAATTTTTGCTCCCAAAGATGCACTAGGTCTTATTTTCAGGGGATGTCTTATTTTTCCATGAAGAATTCGGTACACATTTATTGTTAAATGAAAATAAAGGAAATTTATTACCTGTATACGGTACGGTAGTACGGTAGTTGTCAACACAAACCAGACAAACTGTGAATCCTACAGTATCAAGAATTTACTCATTTATTCAATGACAATCATGTCATCATCTTCTGGAACATCATCGTAACAATCCAATTCCTGAATTTCCTGGTGAATTTCTTGTGACTCAATTTCTTTCAAAATCAGTGCACCAAATCTCTCATGTTTAGCCCGGGGGGGGGGGGGAGCTTATTTTCGGGGGGATGCCTTATATTTCACTCAGAAGGAAACCTGTAAGTAGGTCTTATTTTCTGAGGAAGTCGTATTTTCGGAGAAACACAGTAGTATGCTAGCCTCTGAAGTGTTTAGAAGATGATAGAGTTGAGTCATAAAAACTTACTAAACCAATAGAACCAGCTTTCTCAAAAGACAGCAGCTTCCTATCTTGCCTTGCAATAGAATCATATAGACAAATAATGGTCTCCCCTAGGAGCAGTAATATGACATTTTTTAAAGAAGAATTCACTGTATACTATTCAGAACATAAAATTAGGATGTCATCTAATATATCAAAGAAGTGACTACAGTTGTAAAGCCATTTGGAAACAGTTAAAAATATCTACACGATTACAAAGAACCCCGTATCTTCTTGCAAATATTAATGTGGAAAAGTTAAAGCATGCTGTAATACTATACCCTTAATTTATTAATTTGGACATTGCCTTTAAAGTGTTTGATAATAGTTTCCAGAATCCAAACCAAAAATTTTCCATGTTACAGGTAAAAAAGGAAGCAATAGTAACTGCATTTGGAGATGTGAAGTAGGAGGATAAGGGTTGGAAGACTTTTTTTCCTTAAAACTAAGGGAACCATTCTTACTTTTGACATATGTGTACGCCTTCTATAATTTTCGTAATGCTGAGTACCCCTCGTACTCATGAGAACGTAGAATTAGGTACAGCTAAGCACGATGCAGTGCATATCCCCACCAAACTCTTCCCGTAACCCTGGGGGTACGCGTACCACACTTTGGGAAACACTGATAGTCGCCTTGTGGGAATTCATCTCTAATATTGTAAGCTACTCATCCTTCATAGGAAACCAGAAACTGAATTTTTTGTGAAATCCCTCAATTTTCAAATGTAAACACCTTTAAGGATTGTGTGGGTGTAGATGGTTGTTACTCTGAACAGGGCACCCTAGTCAAGAGTGGGGGAGGACTGTGCATGTAGTGTGAATTCAGACTTCTCAATAAGGGGGTTGGGCTTGCCTAGGAGGAAGAGGTGCCTTTTTCTTCTCACAAAGGTACCTGCTTCTTTGCAATCTCTGGATCAGATAGAATTAGAGCATTAAAGCTGGAGATACTTGATACTTATACTTGACATATAAGGATGACCTTTTAATTTTTTTTATTTTTGGGGTATCTTTATAAAAACTTGTAGACCAGCATACTATAAACCCAAATTTCAACAAACCCAAGTTGCTCATCTGCTAGGCCTTATTCTTCCAGCAATGGCAATGGATTGCACTTGGCCTTCCTATTCTGCTTAGTGATAAATCTGTGACACACTGTCATTAATAGTGATAGGCGCCTAAGTTATGATCAACTAAGGAGAAGCAGCAAAAACTTTTACTTATTGAGTTTACACAGTTTTGAAGAACCTCCTTTCAATATTTTGTGCTATGTGTATTTAATAGCTAAGTATCTCCTCACAGAAAACAAAGCATCATCAAATGTTTGTTTGAAATTAAATAAAAAGATGTTTCCTATCTAGTCTTTTCAAAAGTACTTTATAACTGTTTTCAATTTATGTTCGTGATTTTACAGCAAAAAGATAAGCATACATAACTTATTTTCATTAAACTTACCTACTAATAATCATCTCCAACAAAGAGGGACTGATGTCTAACCACTATGCTGTACATCAGAAATACAAAATAATACTGAATATAAAATGTACTTTTAAAAATTAAAAAAAGGGGGGGGACTGAGAAAGATAATGAAATATAAACTAAAAGGCTTTAAAAGCAGATGTAACGAAGATGAAAGCTTATATATCAATGTCTTATTTATATTTGCTGACCCCTGTTGCTTAATGGGAGAAGCCGGGCCTGCCACCCAGTGGCAACATCTTTTAACATGATATTAAAATAATTTTAAGGTTTAAAGAAAAAATTTTTTTAATAAAACACCACCACACACACAAAAACAACTCAGCCCTCAATGGATAGGGTAACGGGTTTGATTCCAGTCAAGGGCATATGCCTGGGTTGTGGGCTTGATCTCTCGTAGGGTTGTGTAAAAGGCAGCTGATCAATGCTTCTCTCTCATAATTGATGTTTCTTTCTCTCCCTCTCTGAAATCAATCAAGATTTTATATATATATATAATATTTTATATAATATTATAGGCTGCACTGGGAAATTTTTCAAAATATATGACTTCTGTTTACAAGTTTTGTAATTTTAATAACTTTCAATTAAAATACTGAAGGTTGCTTTGCTTAAATTTCAATCTACAGAATAATGGACAAGCTGTGACCACAAAACAACTGGTTTTCTTCTGTGGCCTAAAGAGTAAATTTAATACTCTACAGTAGCCTCTCATCCATACACCCAAACTTCTGCTTGGTAAACAAAAACATAATAGAAACACTTGCAAAAGTAAGATTTAAAAAATACTTTTCTTTAACTATGAGTTTATCCCAGGTATAAATCAATTTTAGTTCACGGTCAACAACTCAAGCTGAACGGCAGAAATGGAAGTAGTATAAATACCATGCTGATAATTACTGATGAGACCAAGTATCGCACTGCCTATTACATCCCCCAAATTTGGCAATAGTGTTTTTACACCGGCACAGCTATGTCCTAACACAAGATGCTTTGGGGAAAAATAACACTAGAGCCTCCATTTACAGTTTGAAAAACGGCTTTGTTCTCTTGAATAACCAGATGAGAAAGAAGCACCCAAAAAGTCTTAGAAATTTAGAGATTTTTGTTTCCAACAATTGTAAATTAAAATTGTACAAGATATGTTTTTTAACCTATGTTCCATTTACAGTGAAGACAATGAATTTTTAAAAATAAAGGCAGATAAAACATACTTGATTGATATTTACAATGGCTTATGACAAATACAATACCTAAAAATAATTTCTAATTTTTCATTTATTATTGCTATTTAGTCACAGAAATGATTAACACTCTCCAAGAAATTTATTTTAGCTTATGTCATATATTGGTATAATTTTATATGAAGAGAAACCATTGAGAAAATGACTAATATGGCGCCCTTACAAGGAAATAAAGGAGACAATAAGGAAATTCTTCCATAGAAAGACTTCTAATTTGCATCATTTTTCAAAATATAAAACCTTAATATTAGAAACAAAGAAAAAAACAACAAAGGAAACAATAAAACAGAAGACAAAGGAAAAAGAATCGCTTATGCAGATGCTTTGCATACGTAGTATATATGTATGGGTTGAGTTATAATAAAAATACTTATGTATTATAGTCAATTCTCATATAGAGTTAGAAATAGCAACATCCAATCAAGTATGATTGGACTGACAGTTTCTCAGTCTTCAATTACATGACGAATTAGAGCTGTGCAGCAATCGTTTCTGGTCAGCAGTATCATGATAAATGCTTGATAAGATATAATTTTTCTCCTTGTTCACTTGTAAAAATTGGTGCCTTTTTGTAATGTTCTACAAGTTCTTCCATGGTGCTGAATTTACGCTGCCCAATGCAGTAGACAGTTTCTTTTAGCTGGACTTTAAAATGCTTGTTTTTCCCTTGTGCTTTTAGTGATACTGAGAAATCATTTGGCTAAAAGAGAAAAAACATGTAGGGTAAACATTTTGAAAGACATCTGTTAGCATTTTTATATTAAACTAATAACAATTAAAATGTGAACACTTATTAGGTGCTAGGCACTATGCTAAATTATTTATGCCTCCAAACAAACCCATTTTACTGATGAGAAAATTGAGGCTGAGAGAAGCTAAATAATCTAAGATTATCCATCTAGTTAACAAGAGCCAGGATTCAAACCCAAGCAGTAAGACTCCAAAGTCTCAACATGTTCTACCTAACACCACAAGCAAATCCTTTAAATATCTGAAGCACGTCTAGAGCTATCTTCTCTTCAGTCAAACTACCAGAGAAACACATGAGAAAATCTAAGACATCTACCACCTTTCAACTAGTAACTAATAGTAGCAGTCTTATAGAGTAGCTGATACAATATTCTGAATTCTCAAAGAAGGAGGAATAATGTAAACTTATGAGAGGTCATAAACTCAAATGCCTACAAGAGGAAGAAAAGTAAGGGACAGGGTGGATAGAGAAAACTCCAGTGTTACCCTTCCCTATCAAGCACCTGCTCTTCCGGTTATGCACCGGCCCCAGTCTAAGGGAGGTGGCCACTTAGCTGTGATTGTTGCCTTGTAGGAATATGGTCTTAACCTATTAACCCGGGAGTTCCCTTTTTAATTACACAACCTGTAATGGGCGCGTACTCTTTCACTAGGACGTGTCAGTACGTCACGCCCGAAGGATGTAATTTCATATTATTATTATTTTTATTTATATTTAATTAAAATAAATGATATATATAATATATATTTGTTTATATATAAAGCACAAAGGAAAATACAAAATTACAAAAAAATAGAAAAGAATACCAACAAAAAAATGGAAACATCGAATTAAAAAATTATAAATTTTACAAACAATTATAAAGATTACAAAAAATATATACCGTCCCTCTCAGGGCGCAACATATATTTCCAGGATGTATTCATACGTCCTACCCGTTCCCGATATTGTTTACGTTTGACGTATTTATAGGTCCCGCTCAGTTAACAGGTTAATGATGACAGACCTTCCAATTTTAAAAGGGATGTCTGCTCTCTGAATTTTTACAATTAATCTCCCAATATTTAAATGCTGACAATATATTCAAATGTTTTTTTAAAAACATTGTGCAAGTCCAACAAAATATGCCTGAGACCTCTACTTCAAAAACTCTACGGCTAAAAACAATGGTATATTTTGGTTAATATCTATGCTCAATTAGCCATAAGAAAATACACAGTATTCTGCAATTAAGCTACTACTTTAAACTTGCTTAATTAGACTTTTTAATGTAACCTAACACTCTTTTGAATAGTCTGTATCAACCCCAGAATCCTCTTTTTATCCAGTTACTGCCAAAGCTTCCAACAGCGGGCTACTTGGAAACATCCCATCCTTTACCACTCACTCCCAGGCCACTCCTTCCTAACCAGCCCACTGTTTGCCCTGGAAAGCAGGGCCAGGTCAGGCGTCCAAACACTCTTCCCTATCATCAATCACCTGCTCTTCCTGGGGGGTTGGTTATGCATGTTATAGGCCCCATTTCCTCAACTTTACACTTTGGCAGTTCAATCATTATCTTTCCTCCCTCTATCTCTTCCTTCCTCTTGTGCATATGCGTGCATGTGCATGCAAACACACACACACACACACACACACACACACAAAACTTGCCATCAGATAGCTTTTCTTCTGCCTTTCAACCCTTTGTACAATCACACATTCACTTTTGTACAACTACATACAAACAAAGCCAATACTAATCATGATTTGAAAAGTGGAAACACAGTGGTATCCTATATATATATATAAAAATGACATTTTAAGGGAAATGAGTATCACCAAATTCTAATTATCCTAAACTACCCAAGAGTCCACCTAACTATTTTTTATGATTTTATAGTTCTACTAGTATTACAATAAAATTTAACTTTTATCACAAGTGCATTTTAAATACCATAACCACTTTAAAAGAAAAAACTTTAATATCAAACTTTTAAATTTAGGAATTCTCTTTATTACATGGACAACAGTGCATCCAATATGCAATTTAAGAAATGTTTTCAAAACGAAAGAATTGTTTTCCCAGTTTAGTCTATTGCATCGTTCTACTCTCAATGAAGAAGCCAATGTTAAATTTTCTCCCCTTTTCAGTTTAATGCAACAGAAAATACTTTAGAAATGCAAAACCAACAGTATTAGACTAGGCCAAATAATCCAGTAGAGTATCACTATTAGGGCTATATTTTACTCAAAACAAAGTTGGAAAAAACGTTGACTTAAGCTTCAGAACATTTATAGGGAAGCCAATTATCCTCTCCAATTTTTTTTTAAATACTCAGTGCTCTATTTCCATTTACCTTTGAAAACCAACTTACCGAAGACTCACTGTCACGAATGAGAAAATCACCTTCATGCCCCCTTTCATTTAATGCCATTTCTGCTTGATGCCTGGTGACTTTCCCGTAATACCAAGGATTGCCAGCAAACTTTCCAGTGAGTGAAGGCCGAATGTAATCACACTGCGGAGGTGATGGTTCCAAACCTGAGGTTAATGGATTATTCTGCATAATGGTAACGTAGTTTTTTGGCACCAGACCAACCATTCCATTGATCTTCCTGCACTTCCACCACTCTGGGTCATTTTCAGGTTTTTCAAGAACATCCATTACATCTCCTTTCTCAAAATTAAGTTCTTCATCATTGGATGAGCTGAATGGGTAAAGAGCCTGTACCACATGCAACACTTGTCCAGTATTTAGGTTATTGACAACTGCTGCTAATTTCTCTGACAGAGAACCCACATGGTCACCCAAAGGACTGTCACCTTCCTCAGTTACGTAGTTTGAAGGGAACCATCCAACTTGTCCATTGTAGCTACCTCGCCACCACCCATCACTGCACTTCTCCATGACGATCACCTTCGTCCCTTTTATCAATGATAATTCATCCTCTCTCTCTGCCATGTAGTTAAATTTCACATATGCAGGCATGTTGAGGTCATAGAGACGTTCCCCTGGGTCAACAAAGCTATCATCAGCAGGAGCTGCAGAATCTGGTACACTAGGTTTTCTTTTCACTTTTCCAATGCCTGTTTAAATTAGGGGAAAAAAGGTCATGAGAATACGAAACAATGATAACCTAAAAAACCAATTTGCTCATTATTTTAAGAAATCTTTGACTAGTTTTGTAAGCTTTTAAACTTAAATAAATTCCTTTTCCACCTTCCCTTCCCACCCACCTTCTCCTCCCTTCCGTTCTTCCATCTCCATGACTTATAACTAGAAATTTGTACTTTTTGACTACCTCCTTTACCAATTCTCTTTTCATAACCACTTAACTGTAGTTACATGACAATTGACCTTTTCATCTTTTTTCTGGTCAAAGACCCTAAAATAACTGCACAATTCTAAAATTGTCCTAAATTAATGCATTTTCTCTGAAATGTAAATACAGATTATTTCTCTCATACCTACAATCTAAGTACATACATAAAGGATCCACAAAACCCATCTTCTTCTTATCTTATTTTTAAAACTTAGATTTTTATAACTGAAATAAACAATAACTTAACTTACAACTTGATGTATACAATATAAAATAGTTATGTCTGGGTAATACTCTCATTTGCTTTTTTAATTCCAAGACCCAAGTTGCTCCTATTTGTTTCCTATGTTTATTTTTTAAATAATATATTATTTGTTTGTCTCCTCTCATTCCATTCATATGTAAACTATACAAGTGCAAAGATTTTATTTACTTTGTTCATGGATATAATCAAAGGTGATCTCACAAAAGGTGATTAATATAAACTTGATGAAAGGTATAAGAAAATCATCAAATGATACCATCATCACAAATGTATGCTATGTCAACTCTAATCAGGCATTTTCACCAGTGCTCATTTCTTATCACATGATTTTATATTCTATTTTTATCAAGAAAACTAAGGCATTCCTAGGTAAAATTTTTCAAATACATTCTCACTCTCTCAAAACTTTCTCATTACTCTTACTCCTCTTCTTCATCCAAGTTTCTAACTACTGATCCTTCTGGGTTGTTGTCATCTTTACTGTCTCTTTTATGACTCTTGACCATCCTTGTTTCCTTTCTACATTGTTGTCTAAAATCGCACTCAGATCAGTTTTATTCTTAAATAATTTTACTTCAACTCTGCTATTCCCTTTAAACTATGCCATTTTTAAAAAGTTGTCTTCCCTTCTGCCTTCTATTTTTTCACCATTAACTCCTTATAATATTAATTTTTTTAAAACCTTGTTATAAAATTGCATTCTATTTGTTTAATAGTTTGTCTCCTTAATCAGAGAATGAGATTCCCTAGGGTAGAAAACAATTTTATTACCTTGTATCTCCAGTGCTTAGCAGTACAGTACCTACACTAGTGGCAGAAATAAAGTCAATTTTTGTGGATGAATCCAAAGTGAACAATTCCTTAGTTAAAAGTGTTTCCTAAGATGCCATGCTTGTACTTCCTCTCTACTTCAAGGAAATCATTTTCATTTTCTATAACTTCTGTATAGAAGGTTCCAAGATCTCTTTGCAGCTCTTAAGCTTTTTCTAGAATTCAAGCACTACAATTCCAATTGTCACTAGATATCTACAGATTGTACCACAGCACCTCAAATACAAACACCTAGGTCCAAATAAAATATCCATAGATCAACTCCCTTCCTCCCAATTTTCTTACTTCTGATTAATGGTACCATTATCCTTTAAAATCCTCACATTAGAATTCCTATGGAGTTGAAAACTCTAGGCCTCCATCCATCCACCAAAAAATAATTAATGAGCTGACAAATACTGTCAGAATAAACTTTTGCAAAATACTGGAATATAGTAAAAAACTTACAAAAACTAGGGCCAAACTTAGGGAAGAAAGAAGCTGCTGCTTTGTAGCATAGAGAAAGTGGTGGCATTTTAAGTTGCTTGCCAACAATCACTTATATCCCCAATTAGTAGTGGCTGTGAGAACAGTAATCTGCACTCCTAATGCCAGAAGAAGCACCAAAGATCTTATCCTCAAAGAACTGTGGTTATGGGTTTCAATCTATCTCAGCTACCTGAAGGACCAGGACTTGCCTTAGTTTCACCTGACCTGGAGCATTCCCAGGGCAAGAGGTCTTTTGCTGAAATTACTAATTGATACAGTAGTCTGGGGCAAGGGACAACAATTGGACAAGAAACAGACATTAAAAACCCGAGAAAGAAGCGTTTGGATAAGGATATACAGGGGTTAATAAGGGCTTTTAAAAGTTCCTGTGTACATCAGATAATCAAGTTTTCTGAAATACATCCATACATATATGGTCAAATGATTTTCAAAAAGGAGGCAAACATCATTCAATGGGGAAAAGAATAATCTCTTCAGCAAACTGGATACCCACATGCAAAAGAATGAAGCTGGACTCCTACTTCACAACACACACAAAAATTAACTCAAAATGGATCAATAACACAAGTATAATAGTTAAAACTTTTTAAAATATATATATTTTATTGATTTTTTTTTACAGAGAGGAAAGGAGAGGGACAGAGAGTTAGAAACATCCATGAGAGAGAAACATCGATCAGCTGCCTCCTGCACGCCCCCTACTGGGAATGTGCCCGCAACCAAGGTACATGCCCTTGACCGTAACTGAACCCGAACCTTTCAGTCCGCAGGCAGACGCTCTATTCACTGAGCCAAACTGGATTCAGCTAATAGTTAAAACTTTAAAACTTTCAGAAGAGAACATAGGGTAAAATTTTCATGAGCCTGGATATAGCAATGAATTCTTAAGATTTGAATCCAAAAAAGCACAAACAAAAAAGATAAATTGTATTTCATTAAAATAAATATTTGTGTAAAAACTATCAAGAAAATGAAAAGACAACCTACAGAAATAGAAAAGACTATTTTCAAATCATATCCTGTTAATTAAGGGCATATAACATATTTATGTTAGAACCAGCAACAAAAGAAAAATCCCATTTTTAAAAAATGGGCCAAGAATTTGAATGTTTCTCCAATGATATATGCAAATGCCCAAAAAGTACATGAAAAGATGCTCAATATCATCAAACATTAGGGAAATATAAATCAAAATCACAATGAAATATCACTTCAAACCTACTGGGATGGTGATAATAAAACCAAACTAAACCAAACCAAAAAAATAAGAAAGTGTTGGTGAGGATATAGAGAAATTGGAGCTCTTCTTACATTGCTGGGCAAGGTGTAAAAAGGTGCAAGTGCTATGGAGAACAGTTTGATGATTCCTCAAATGTTAAACACAGAATTACCATACGATCCAATAATTCCATGCCAGGTGTATGCCCAAAAGAATAAAAAAAGGTATTCAAACAAATACTTGTACACAAATGTTCACAGCTTCACTATAACCAAATAACCAAAAAGTAGAAACAACCTAAATGTCCATCAACAAATGGATAAACAAAATGGTATATTCATATAATGTAACATAATTTAAACATAAAAGGTTTGAAATAGTGATACGTTACAACATGAATGCACCTTAAAAACTGTGCTAAATGAAAGAAATTGGACACAAAAGGTCATATATTATACACATTTATATTAAACTAGTAGCCCAGTGCACAAAATTCATGCATGGGGGGGGGGGGTCTCTCCGCCCAGCCTGCACCCTCTCTAATCTGGGAATGCTGGCTCCTAACCACCTACCTGCCTGCCTGCCTGATTAACCCTAACCACTCTGCCTGCCAGCCTGCTCACCCCAACAGCCTTCTCGCCCCCACCTGCCCCCCCACCGCCTGCTCACCCTCAACTTCACCCCCCCACCTCCCCACCTTCCGCCTGGCAGCCTGATTACCCCCCAAGAGCTTTCCACTCCTGGCCTGATCACCCCTAACTGCCTCTGCCTCGGTCCCGCCACCATGACTTTGTCCAGCAGGATGTCCAGAAAGTCTCCCAGTCTAATTAGCATAATACCCTTTTATTAGTATAGATAGCCAGAATAGGTAAATCCATATAAACAGAAAGCAGTTAGTGCTTGCTAGAGGCTGAAGGAAAGGGGTAACAGGGAGTGACTGTTTAACGGGGATGGGTTTCCTTTTGGGGTGATAAAAATGGTTTGCAATTAGATAGATGTGATGATTACACATCATTGTTCATGTACTAAACAGCACTGAATTGTACATCTTAAAAAGGTTAATTTTATGTTACATATGCTTTACCTCATAACTTTTTTTCTTAAAAGATCCCCACATCAGAATCTAAAAACAAATAAACAAACAAGCAAAACAGAAATAGACTAATAGATACAGAGAACATTTTTTTTCTTGATACTCCTCTCTCGAGAATATTTTTTCCACTGATTTTTTTAAAAGGGGAGTGACCCCTTAAGTCAATTCCCTGAATAGATATTTCCACTTTAGTGACATATAATAGTTTAGTGACATATAATAGTTTACCTTTTTGGCAAGTTGCTTACCCAAATCTTATTAAAACTTCTACCTTTCAAAAATCTATTCAAGGACCATTTCAAATTAACAACTTTATTCATCTTTCCACTCCATGTTTCTCAACATCTTTTTCCCCCACCTTCACTCTCAGTAGTATGTACTCTTTCCTTTTTTAAAGCACTCTAGCACCTTATATTTCTGGAGTGCTTGTATGATAGTGTTTCCTATGTCTATCTTTTAAGCTTTTTTTTCTTCTTCTTTTTAGCTTAAGCTTCCGGAGAAGAGCATTCTGCCTCACTGATCTTTTTCTATCCCTATACTTTAGAACTGTGTTATAGCAGATGTTCAATAAATGTTTTGTTCATTGACTAAAACTGAATACTAATAAAAGAAAATACAAAATTTTAAACCTGAAAACAAAGGCAAGTTACAAAATGATTTTTTAAAATTAAATATATTGGGGTGACTTTTAATAAGATACAGGTTTCAAGCATACATTTATATAATACATGATCTGTATATTGTATTGTGTGCCCATTTAAAAATTTCTCAATAAGATAACCTTTAAGACTAATTATACAGCGTCAAAAAGAAAAAAAAAAGAATTTTTGGACAGTCCCAAAAATGAAAGTGTCTCCCCCGCCCCCC